AAGGACAGAAAAAACTCTATTGATTCATCAGTGTGGATGATCGACGAAGAGTAGTTGAATGTGCACGTAGAAGAATCTACCAACTAGTCCGTTTTAAGTGAGTTAGTCTTTATACATCCGATTATCTCCCATCATCCAAATAGATGGTTAAATAGTATGGTGAACTATTTGAGGTTCTGCTAGGATTCATTCTGCACATCGTTTGTTCCTGATAAGTTGAAAATGTGACGCGGTTCTGAATCTTTCTCGACTAGACATTAGCCACTGTGGTTTTGTTGGATTCAACCCCAGACAACAATGTGATATTGCGGGAACCGATGAGGGCCGGTTTTTAAATGAAAAAATATCACCCCTGTCTCGAATGAGAATGCGTGCTCGGAGGTCGAAACCGCATACCTATCAACTGAACAGACATAAAATTGTGGTGAGTTATTGCTAAAATGATTGCTGTAGCTATGATTAGCTTTGATGTGTTTGCATTCAGACGGTACTGAATGAATAAATCAGCAATCCCAATGAAATCCTACTCGATCTGTGATTTCTGCGCCGGCACAATACTGCTAGGTTGCCCAAGACAAAGGGATTCAGGGCTCTTGAGGGATTCAGAATCCGGTCTTTCGGCTGACGAATACCTGACCCACTAAGGAGTGGTGTGATGTGTGACAATTGCAATCAATCAGGGCTCGGTGCCCAAATCATTGGATTACCTCTTTGACCGCTAATACTGACTACTTCATCAAGTGCGAATGACGATTGGGATGTCCTGGAGGTATGAAATCAGAGTTTTCCAGTTCTTTTAATGAAGCTTGCCGCCCCGGGGCTCAGCAGCATAACCATAGCTTCGAGTGTTATATCTTGTCATCCTTACTTAAATAAAAACGCCCTCACAAGAAGGCAACGGTGGGTAGGAGTTTGAAACCAGATGCAACGACAGAGAGAGAAACATTACATGGGGACATTTTCGGAGGGCGGGAGGGTGCGAGGGTGGTGATAACGAAGCCTCGTTGACACTACCGAGAGATTGGGAATTTTGGAGGCTGTACGAGACACACGGCTTCTTCGGTCTGAGCAACCAATTCATACATAATTCCAATAATTCGATCCTTGTTTATCTCTACCAGAGTTGGAATTCACCAATCTTTTTGTAAACCTACCACCCATAAGAGGGATTCACACTGAGTCTTTTACTCATGAGTATAGGTGCATGTGAGGAGGTGGCAGGAATTCGCATCCAAAATGTGCTCAGTTTTGCCAAGAATAGTTTCAAATTTGAAATTCCAAACCGAAACCCACCGGTACTCATTCATTTATTCCACAGATCAAGTCGAGAGAATGTGTAATTCATTGTTATCTGAAGATGGATATCCCAGTTAGGTAATAGCATCGGTCTAGCATTTGTTGGCCATCGTATTCGATTCGCCCGTTATCTCCATTTCACCTCAATTGCACGATACCAAGCTGAATTTGTAATGTAACTTATGGTTTACTGTTCTCGTCTCCTTTTTTTGCATAAATTAGGCACTTGGGATTTGAGTAAACTGCATCACTGGATGTGTTATATCCTGTCATGCAGCTGCGCGAAGATAGCGTGCGCGCGCGAGGGAGAGAGGTAGAGCTGGAGCACAGCATAACACAACAACAATCCACGCAATTCTTTCCGAAGCCAAGGCACTCACTTGGCCAGTTCTGCGTTCCTGACAATGTGCCAGTGTGTGTGTGTGTGTGTGCGTTCGTGCGTGCGTGCAAATACTTATTCACGTGTGCAAAGCACATGCAAGCTCATAACGATCTTTGACAAGCAAACTGAGCCGCTTAGATCCAGGCAAATAGACCCATAAGCAACTGCACACACACACACACACACACGGATGGACGGATGGATGGACGCACGCACGCACATGTGGAAAAGCACAACGACCCCTGGTTCTATAGTTGATTGGTTCTCCTTGACCAACGCTTGGCCGGACTGGAAATCTGGCTTTACACACACATAAATGCATACTTGCAAATGTGTACCCATGCAAACGCGTCAGCACCCTCGTTACACAACAGGGCATGCCCCAAAGCACAAGACAGTCTGTTTCTAGCCTTGGTTTACGGATAACTGGCATCTCACTCATTGTGTCAGTCGTACCAATTGTACGCTCATATGGGGCGTAAACGCGAATGACGTAATCAGGAACCCTGATCACATATATCCATGAGTCGGTTAGGACTTCCCCAAAAACTATTTTTCCTTCTGATTTGGATCTTGGCTACTGTACAACTGGTGATTCATGGTAGACACACAGGTCAAACCGAATTCAATGGGGATCCATCAATCGATGGTATTGATCGGATCCCAAGACTGTTTAATTACCACATGGAGAAACTTGCCCGTCGGCCGCCACCGCCACCACCACCACCACCACAGCCACAAATACAACAAGCTGGCCAACAGCAACAACATTCTTCCGTAAATATTCCTAAAATTGGGAAAAAAACGCCGTTGTTGAAACAGGAATATGTACCACAATCCAATCTCGAATCAGACGATGAACTGAATCGTTTACTCCCCGAATCCGCTCCCATGTCCACTTTGGGACCGAACGAGCAACAGTCAACTCTCGGCCCATTAGGACAGGCTCGTGAATCAGAAACTGTGTTGGATAATGAAATGGACTATTTGAACCCATTCATTGACTCCCACAAGTACAGGGGGAAGAAAGGTGAGTTGTTCGATGAGTCCCATGAATTCCCGGGGGCGGGGGGGGGCAGGTTTATCGTGTGTTTGGGTCCGATGGTTTGAGAATATGGCAAGTTTCGGCACTCGAAAATCACTACATACATGATAACCGGATAATGTATACTAGACAAGTAGAATGAAGAGAAGAGCAATATGGAAGAAAACAAAAGATACTAGTTGTTTTTCTACTAACTGTGTGTTTTTCATAGACTTATAATAATGAGCATCACGGAATCTAGATGAATCCAAAATCGATGTGATGATACATCAAGGACGGGATATTTTCCGGTACAAAATTGTCAGAAGGTCAAAAGAAGATCAGAGATAGCTGGTGATTGCACAGTGTTCATCACAGCTGTATGAGACTGGGTCCAGGTAGACTTGTAATCAACGACTATTCAAGTTTTGGCGCATAGTTGGGTTTTCCGTGCCCTTGGTTCACGTTTAAATTTACTCCGATTTCGACTATGTGCATTTTTGATAACTATGAAGCTTGGTAAACATTTTTCAGTCGAACCATAGGCATTTTATCAAAACAAACGCGGCATGGCATGTGTTTAGCTGCGTTTATGTCTCCACAGTAGTCAATCCGTTTGCGGTCGGTTAAACTGAACGGACAGCATCTATTGTCACCCTCCAGGGCCTTCCTATTCGGCTGGATTTGGTCAACTTCATCACTCGACTTGATGCTACACTGTACTGATTTCTCAGGGATAAATCTTTGAATTTTTTGATCCATAGACAATCCGGATGGTCTTTCTTTTGACGATTGCCTTATTTTTTTATATGCTCCAAATCTACTGTACCAGCTAATAACTCAGTCATACTGAAATTCTAGTCCGGACTAGTAGGAGAAAGAATCTTACGGTGGAAAACATTTCGACACGGAAACAAATGATTTTATCGACTGATCTTTTCATATTTTCTAGTTTCAATTGTGTAATACACAATGAACAGATTTAAGAAAACCTCTAATTTTAAAACAAACTACTTTATGTTGTCTTATTAAAACTGTTCACAACTATGCGATCCAATTTTCTCTCTCAACTGTGAAACCCATTACGTCAAAGATAGGGTGAATACATGAATAGTAAACTTGATTTATGAAGTAACTTCCCTAACCGTGAACAATGAGATCTCTTTAATGGGTTTGCTACCAGTCGCGTTCTCAAAGCTCAAGAAACTATTGGTAGTGCCAACTAAGTTGGTGACAAAGGAGCCAAATGACCTATTTGTGCTGTGTGCTGACCGGTTTACTCTGGGGATGACCGTGTTACTATGCTACAAATCGCTCAGAATAACCGGCGTTCCTAAGAAAATACACGGTGATACAGTATTTCGTTTATCTAAATGGTTATGAAAGTCTTCGGGAGTGAACTGCTTAACCAGAGTGACTTCAGACTGAACCTTTGCTTATGGATCTGTCTTAGTGACGAGACGTTCAAGATTTCCGGAAATCATCTGAAGTTAATTATACAGTATTGAATTAAATCCCAGAGCACGAGGCTGGACTAAATTGCGCCTAGATAAGGAGACATCTTACTGAAGTAGTTTTGTACAGTTGTGAGTTCAACTCCATCATGCAGATAAAAATAACATTTCGGGAGTACACAATCGGTTACCTTAAACCACACTTGTAGCAGTGGTGTTTATTACAAGTGGATTTCCCGAAGATTCCACAGATTAAACGTGGAATGAAATGTGTCCCGTTACTTGGAACAATCACAGTATTGTACAAAGAGCAAAGTAATGAGGAGTGGCTCTAGCTTATTCATTACCATAGTCATTAGCATCATCACCATCATCACTACCATCATTATCATCATCATCATCATCATCATCATCATCATCATCGTCCTCGTCGTCGTCATCATCATCATCATCATCATCATATACATTGGTATCGAAAACATTAGTCATGTCAGCATTGTACAATAAGTGACATTGGTGGAAACTTAGCTGGTATATACAACCGATTAACACACTGTGTGATTCCGCCGTTGTTGTGTTTCCACATTGGTTTCTCAATATCCCAGAGTGTAATCGCACCACACTTCATTTTTATGAAACACTATCTAGTCAACATTCCTGAAAATTGAATGTATATTGATCGTTTAAAAATGCATTATTTTAATCCTAATCCATACGAAGCTGACCTAGCTGAAAGAAACGGATCGATCAGTGAAGGGTTGTCGGTTGAGGTACCGTTGGTAAAGAAAAATATCATACTGCTAGCGGCCACACACCTTCATCTGCCAGATAGATAATTATCAACATAAGATATTTCGCAAAAGGTGTACACTGAAACCAGGAAAATGCCTAAATCCAACGAAATCAAAGATACTCAGTTGAACAAGAGGTCTGTACTGTGCAAATCAGCTACCACGAGTGGATAAACTGAACACAAATTTTACAGTTCTCCTCGTTTCGAACAAACATAATTGAATAACAATGATTACGTAAGATTTCTTTGTAGTACGATTGACTCGGCAATGTAAAGCACATTTTGAACGGGATGAACTGATGTCATTGGCTTTTCGGAATGTCTTCTCTCGCAATTCAGATGTTCCAACCCAGATTGAAATGCCGAACTCTATAAAACGTGCAATTCTGTGGCTTGGTGTTTATCTAAATATTCCTTCAAGTTGGTTGACATAGTTACCCTGCTAACTACCGACCTGTAACCATCCTTTCAATATGTTCTTAAGTCAGGCAATCAACTGTTGCAGATTTCCCC